GAAAAATAATAAAGCACCGGGCCTAGATAGAGTCCCATATGAGTTTTATAAGAACGCCCCAGACCTATTTTTGACTAAACTACTTAGTATTTATAATGACATTTTTCGGAATAAGGTCATACCTGAAAGCTTTAAGAAATCGATAGTTTTTCCATTGTTTAAAAAGGGTGATATTAATTCAGTTCAAAATTATAGAGGATTGTCTTTTATAAATTGTATTGGTAAAATATTTATAGGAATGCTAAATAATAGACTTACAAATTGGGTCAATGAAAACCACATCTTATCGGAGTTCCAGGCGGGTTTCAGACAAAACTATTCCACTATAGATAATATTTTTAATTTGGCATCGATGATCAAACTACGTTTAGCGGAGAAAGGTGGCAAATTGTATGCATTTTTTGTGGATTTTTCAAGTGCGTTTGACACTATTGATAGACGATCGCTTATGTTAAAACTTTCATCAATCGGCGTATCAACGCACGTTTTAGATGTTTTGAGGAGTTATTATTGTAACACATCTGCAGCGGTTTGGTGTAAGGGCGGCATTTCAGATGAGTTTGAGACAAAGACAGGTTTAAGACAAGGATGTATAGGAAGTCCTCTCCTGTTCAGCTTGTTCGTAAATGATTTGCCAGAGGTGCTGGAAGGTGGCTGTAATTTCGGTGGAAAGAGAGTAAATGTTTTGATGTATGCAGACGACATCGTATTGTTGGCCCCCACAGCAACAGCATTACAAATAATGATTAAAAACTTGGAGTGTTACAGTTCAATTTGGAACCTTACAGTAAATATATCCAAATCCAAAATAATGGTTTTCAGGAAAGGTGGTAGATTATCAGGACATGATAGGTGGTGGTATAAGGGCAAACAGGTTGAAGTGGTAGATAGTTATAAATATTTGGGAATGTTATTTACAACGACATTGTCATGGGAAAAACATTTCATAGAGAAGAGGAGGCTAACTAATTATGCAATTAATTCAGTATGGCAAAGGCTATTAGACAACAACAAAGTCCCGCTGCAGATTAAAATATTATGCTTCGAATCTATTCTCAGAGCTATTTTGTGTTACGGCGCACAAGTTTGGGGGTTTTCAGAAATTTCTCAGTTAGAAAATGCTCAGAAAACGTTTATTAAAAGGATGTTTAGATTGCCACATAACACTCCCAACTATATTGTTTACTTAGAAACATGTTTTGAAAAGTTGTATTTCTTTAATCTACAAATTAACGCAACATACATTTTTAAGGTTTTTAATATGCCAGAATCACGCCTACCAAAAATTATTGCTAAATCTGTAATTGGAAAAGGTATTTTTTGGGCCAAAGAGTGGAAATGTCTAGGGCGAAAACACGGTTTGGATATTAATTTCGAGTCAGCAGATGTTTTTGAGGGATTAGTGAAGATAATTGAGGCGGAAAGAGATAGCTGGAGAATTGATATGGTTGGCAGAGCGCGTACATCGCAATATCACCAACAACTGCTTGCCGTTGACCTTGACCTAGGGCCCAGGAGTTTTCTCACTGATAGCATCAATATAAGTCTTATCTCATGGGTCATTAAGGCCCGAGCAGAGCTGGTTGATTTGAATCACAAACCATGGATAACGAATAAAAATCATTTCTGTAGTTTGTGCAATTTGCGTGAATTTGAAACAGTTTTTCATTTTGTTTCTATTTGCCCAATTTTAGGTGATATCAGGGGGTATTGGTTTGGAAAACGAAGCATGCATTGGGAAGAACACATAGAATACATAAATGGTAGGGATTGGCGTAAATTAGCAAACTTTATGAGGGAGGCATGGAGAAGGAGGTGGGAGTTAATTAGAGAATTTAACTACGAATAAATTAAATGATTTTTTTTTTCAAATTCAAAATTGTTTTATTATCTTTCTAATTTATAAATTAAATCAAAACAATAATTATGTCAAACAACTTGTCAGCCTGTCTTCTTAAATATTCATAGTAATTGTTATAGTTTTCATTATGCGTAAACCTTTTAAATTCTAATAATTTAAAAAATAAAATAATAAAAGTTATGTAAACAATATTATGAAAAAGGCATTTTTTTTAGTTTTGTTGAAAATGGATGTAAAATTGTATGTAAATTTGTGTATGTTAGTAAGTGTATTTTGTTTCAACTTAATTTTCATAAATGTGTTTTCCAGGTGTGCCAACCAAACAGACGGTCGTAGACCATTGTTTAATTAAGTGTATGCTTATGTTATGAGAGGAATGTTTATGTTAAAATAAAGCACTTTATTCATTCATTCATTCATTCATTCATTCAACTTTTAAAATTACATTTTACAGTATTAGCATGTGATCTATGGTATTAGTTTGCTAGTTGAGTGGCTGACGTGAACTGTAATTGTCTATAAATCAGAACATTATTTTTATATTGATATAGGCTATTTAATATTTTTTTACACTGCGCAGCTTGAACAAGTTTGTTAGAGCTTTTTCTTCAAATCCAATTTTAAACATAAATTTTAGATAGAATAAGTGAGTTTTTTTGCCTGGTTGTATGGATATTATTTGGACATTCCTACAGACAGCTTTAATAGATACAGTTAAGAGGATAGATATATGGACTCTACTCTATTTATCTTTGCTCAGGGGGAGAGGATCCATTGCCTATGGGTCGGCCGCTTAGAAAGCGACCTCCTCCAGCATTGGTTTAGCATTAGCGCGCAGGTCGTTTTCTAAGCGGCCGAACTATAGCATTTTGATATAAAATTCTTTTATAATAGTACCCAACATAAAATAATTTAAGTCACATTGTCAGTCAAAAAACACCAATTCAAGTGTTCAAGTCAGTAGGATGGTAGTATTCCTTAGTAGCTCAAAACAGGTGATAATTCATTTAATTGTACATTTTATTTGTTACCTAGAAACCAATTTCATTATGAATATTTCAAATGTGAGAAAAGGTTTATTTTGTGAAAGCAGAATAAAACTTTATCTCAAATTTGGAATATTCTAGACTCTCGGCCCCAGATCTCCCTATGTCATGGTGGAAGCAAGTAAAGTCTTCTCCATGACCTTCCCTAAGCCTTCTTGCATCCATATCACTCGATCCACTGTTCTTCTCAAACTCCTAAATCTTACCAAAGCTAAAAGTTATCTTCTTGCCTACCTTGGTTAGCTTATTGGATGTTCTGACTCTATGACCTCTGCTCTTCAACTTCTTAATCTGAACCTAAACTTCTTCACTATCTTTCACGTATCCTAAACCACTTTCATCTTTTAGGCTTTTCCTTTATGATTTGCTTCGTGTAGCCTTCGCCCCATTACTTCTCACCCCCTCCTCTACTTTCTGTCCTACACTGGCCTCTAGGTTTGTCCATATTTTGTACCCTTCTTAACTTATTCTACCAAACAAACCCGAAACCCCCTTCCCCCTGGGGCTTTGAGGGTCAATACTTTTAATGCGGCCACTGGCAGTCTCAAGCCTGCAAAATGAGCTTAGCTCTTGAACGCAGAGAGAAAGTATTAATGTTATTTTTTCTAAATTTAGTTATCTAATCGGGGAGCCTACTAGTCGGTCAACAAATAACATACCTTGTGGTCAGGCTACATGACAGCCTGTAAAAATTATATAGCTAAACATGAGAACACACTTTGTCTATGGTACAAGTTATTTCATTGTCAGTTGTGTTAATCGTCTTGTAAAATTAAATAAATATGAGAATTTTCTTCATTATAAAGATAGTTTTTTGCAAGGCGACTTTGTGAAGATGGGAAAATTGAGGTGAGGATGGATGGAATGGTAGCACATTTGCTATAGAAGTCGCTGCAGTTGTATTAACTTTCTTTGTGGCGTGATGAGATTACGATGAAATATTCAAGTACAGTTAATCAAAGCAAGGATTTTATTCATTTGACTTTTAGTTATGTTGTTATAGTTGTAGTTGGAGAATGTTGATTGTTTTGAGGACTTGAGGCGCGAACATGAAAACAACTCAAATCTGAGTTCTTCCTGAACGGGTCAAAATCCAAGCCAGGTGTAATTTCAGCCTTGTTTTTTCGGGTTAGGGAACCCAGAGTTGTTCATTGCACAATTGAAACTTTACCTATATTCCTCTCATCTGCCACAGTTAGCTAGACATTGTTTAAAATTTTCAGCCCATGCATGGCTATAACCCGCATTACGCGCCCCCCAAAACCAAGAACTCCTAAAACAAGCAGTGGTCTCGACAGAGCTTACCCAAAACCGCAGAAAGGGTCCTATAAGGACACTCACTATCTGGTACTACTTTGAATGCCGGATGATAGGGCAGGAGTTTTTTGCCGGTGGATAGGGCAGCCAGGTCATCGCTAGCCAAGCTGACCAAGTCCCCTGTATTATCCCGCAGCCTGGGATGTGCAAGAAAACCCAAGTTTTTAAGCTGAACCCTCTGTCTGAACGGACGTTCAACACGGTGGAAGACAACGGACTAGGAGCCATACACGAGAATAGACCGGAGTGATTTGCAAAACCTGGTCTTGATTTTAAACAGAAAATGTTGGTGTGGAGAGGAGACGCTGAAAGAATTGGTGCCCCCCCCCCCCACCTTCAGTCGCCTCTTATGACAAGCAGGGGATACTGTGGTTTATTCTAATGCCGGGGCCATGCAAAAATCTCTTTGTTTTGTATACATTAGTTACTTCATGAAATAAAGCAATATATTATTATTATTATGGAAAGTAAAGTTGTCATTGTTGATTTTTAAACCACTAATGTTTATATCCCCCAAACTTCATTTTGACACTTATAATAAAATAAGAGTAATAGACTGAAAATATTGGCAATACAGATAGGCAAGTTTAATGGTTGTTGTTTTTTTAACAATGCAATCGAGTTTTTAGTTCAATATTTGTTGTTAATTTGATGGACTCAGATAACAATCACCTTTATTTCCTATAAACAAAATGCACTGGATATAAACAAAAATACAACTAAAAATAGAAAATATAACAAAAACAAATTTTAAATTTAATAAAATAAGCGCTTACTGTGTTTTTTTAGGAAGACAGCTCTCTCGTCACGCCCCACCACGGTGCCTTGGACACTCATGGATTCTATCTCCGAGGCGTCTTCAGTCTCTCCTGACGGCTCTGCTCCACTAGACTCCTCCGACTCACTGGCCTCACCATCACTGCTGTCTCTGTCAACACAAGGTTTTTTACTAAACAAAACATGTTTTTCATAAACAAACTATACCAATAATGTTATAGTTAATGTGACAATATTGTTAAAGTCACAAGAAAAGTTAAAACCATAAGTAGTCATAAATGTTCAAACCTTTACAGTGCAACAACAAAATCGTAGAATATTTATAGGCAGTGTTGCCAACTATTTTTCAATGGTACACAGCTTTCCTGGCTCTTATAAGGTGATATATTTTTTAAGGAAAATCAGGAGTGAGATAAAAATTCTATACCCAAAATATTCACACACAAAAAAAAAAATGAAAAGAGGCGTTCGGACTGCTTTTCCTTAAAAGCATTTGAGGTTCTTCCCTACAAAATTCTATTGGCGTAGGCGTAGTCATAAAATATTGTGTGACAAGGTGAAAGAGTGCAGGAGTCAGAGATAGCTTCTGGTAACAAATGGCTGCTTTTGTAGGTAATGTAACAGTCGAAAACAACCATGTTACCTCACAATAATCTTCCTTATTGACATAGCACTCATTTGTGAGTCTCAACAGACCAACAGAGCAAGAGATGAACCAGTAATGAGAAAATGTTATGATAAAAAGTTGAAGGTGGAATCAAGACGACAGCGAAGGACATTGATATCACAGATTCTTAACATGCAATCTCCTCTAAGCCATGCCATATTCTCCAATACTCACCCAGTAAACAGATGTCCGATGGCACAAGCCAGTTTCTCCATTACTCCTTCCTCATTGTCCGAGTCAGAGTCTGCAGGGTATCCCACCATACTGACACTCTCTGTGACATAATTAGAACTTTATCATCTTTAAAATTTTTACTCTGTTTGCAATAAAACCATTTATTTCAAAATCTAATTATGATTTTGTTCATCACTTCAAGAAGGTGAATAGATGTTCTGCTGCAGAATTTAAACTAAACCGTATTCCTAATCAAAAGTTAATTTTAAACTGTACACTTTTTGCAGTTTCTTATTATTATAAAACTATTTATTATCATTGGGTAAACTCAAACTGTGAGAGATATTTAGCCAAAAAAGCTTACTATTCAATTTATTTGGTTTTAGATGCAAACTATGAAATTGAAAAAAAAAACTTAATCAGTATTTACTACACTTACTTTTCTTCTTTAATTATTAGCTTATGTTAAGGTCTGTTCTTGGCTTTGTACCTGGCAATGTACCAACTTGAAATGTTTGTTGTAATCTTAATATTTGGTGTTATGATCAATAAAGCTTTGTCTATTGTCTATGATATTTTGTTGGAGCTGTATTCTTTTTGCTTACAGGAATGAATTCTTTAACCTCAGGAACTAAAAAAAATCTTTGAAAACACAAGAACACCTCCGCTCATCATTACTCAGATGTACTTTCTACCACATTTATTTTCGCAGAAGATATCTCTGTGGTTTTCATAGTAAAAAATATCGAGGACCAACATTCTTTACACACAATTTTTTCCCTAAAAACTATTGGAAAGGAAATGTTTGTAAACAATTTAATAACACTTTATTAGAAGAAAGAAAGCAATACCTTTGTATCATAATGTACAGAGCTAAGCAATCCATTCCCATCTTAAACATGTAGCACAGTTTTATAATGAAAATAAAGCCACCGATAGATCGCAATGATGTTGATGACTTACTGTTGAGTGCGCTATTTTTTTAACCAAGCAAAACTGAAAAACTTTTAACCTAAAGTAACTTTTATGCTACAACTATCGCAGTAACAAAAACTAAGGAATAAAATATAATTTTACAGCAAAGTACACACTTTGAGTGGTTCATTCAACCATAGACAAAAAAAAAAAAAAAAAAAAAAAAAATTAAATATAGACTGTCAGCCGTGCAGCGGTTACCATAGGTTCCGGCGCACACCGCTGTAGTTTACGTAGCGCGTACGCCGTAACTCTATGGCGCTCCAAGCGGTGTGCGCCAGAACCTATGGTAACCGCAGCACAGCTGACGGTATATATTTAACTAGTGTACATGTTGCTCGAAATCAAGCAATTACAAAGAAGTACAGGAGTTATTTACAAACAAATAACTTGTTTAAAAACTAATAACAGTCATAATTTCCGATGATTTTAAAAGTGACAACTAAAAAGATTATTAATTAATGGAAATACTCACAATTTACATAACAGTCCTATTCCAGTTTTGAAGAGTTAATTTATAACAATCAAACTGCCCATGGACTAAACTTACAATTTAAGTCAACGTAAAAAGGTATATATTTAATTCTTTTTGTCTATGATTCAACTATATTTGAGAAAAATAGGCTACAGCTGGTCTATATAGATGGGTTGTCTACTTCGGTATCCAAAATTCAATGGTAGTACTTGCTAAACATCTGTGAAACCCACCATGCATAGTCTTGCGGTGTGCGTCGTTCTCCCGGCGCCGTATGAACGTCATGGCTGCTGCCTCAGGTTCTTGTTCATCAGCTGATGTCTCCGAGTCCTCCGCCCCTGCTGTCGTCTGCTCCCCCACCACTCGAGGCAATTTGTGCCCCACCTGCCTCTCACCCTCCATCAACTCATGGTCCAGGCGTGAGGACAGAGGGTAAGCCTTGGCTTGGAAAACCTGCAGCCAAACAGTTGTCTTGTTAAATCACAGTTACATAATTTTATTTAGGATTTAAACTTGTTCAACAACTACTCATTACAAAATGTGTAGCTGTGTAAAGAATTTTATTTTTTGTTTTTTACTTCATGATGATGATAAGTAAAGATTATATGTTATTTGATCTTTAAAGATTTTTACAATGACCTGTCATTTTTAATTTTAATATTTCAGGGATTTGCTGAATTCTTGATGGACATCACAGTATTTTGAATAAAGGAAAGTTTCATATCTTGAATCCACAAAGGACAAGGTTTAATTTTCAAAGCACACTCAGTATTTGTAGTTACAGTTTATTGCTTCCAACACAAAGTTAAGGGTTCAAATTCAAAACCATTTAATTTCCTTCCAGTGATAGCTTCCATTCATATTCAATCAAATTTTCACAGTTGTATGTACAAAAAAGTATAGCCTATATGAAATGAACTATCAATGTTAATTTCAAGCGAGATGGTAACTGGGCAAAGATACCATTTGTCATTGGCCTATCAATTAACGATGCTATCTAACAGGATGAAGTAAGATGGTAACAAGAACAGGGTTTGGACCTTCCCCCAACAAAAATGTAAAATTGCCACAAGCATGAATATACACAAAACTAAAATAAAATAAAATGTTCAACATAAAAATACAAACATACAAAGTAATACTTTATCAAATCACATATTACCTTAAACAGCACTTCCCAAGGCCTGTAGACATTTTCTACCTCTACCTGAGGTTCAATCAACGGTTCCCAAGAGCCTACGTTGGAATTGTAGTAGGAAACTTGCAACTGAACCTCACCTGAAAAAGTTTGTTTTTAAATTAATATAAATAACTTCTTGATCAAATAACTTCTTGATCAGCATTGTGCGTGTTATTAAATTTATGGAAAGTAAATAAAAGATACGTCTTATAACACTTAAAACATATATTTACGCTTATACTGTTACTCACAAGACGGTAAATATACAAAAAAGATGGTAAGTGGTTAGTGGTAAGTGGTTACCAGATACCGTTTGTATCATGAATCAACAGATATCGGCCTACAACTCATTCATTGCAGTATTGGTGTGACATTACCAAGAGGCCACTGTACTGACCTTGCATGTGAGCGGACGACGACCAGTTGTGTAACCCTGCCTCTGCTGCAGCTCTCAACATGATCACAGGAACATTACTGGTGTTGTGGGACCCTAAAACAATCACACATCTCTGTTACTACTTGCGTAATAGTTAACAACAAGTTACACAGTAGAGCACGGAACGAGGTCCCAGGTTCAAATCGCACCAAATCACCAATGGATTTTATCTATGTGATAATGCCGCAGCTCCTAGGTAACCTAGGTCTAGCCTGAAGTAATGAGAAAAACAATTCTGGGTTCATGACTAGCGTTCTAGGACAGAAAAAAATAAAAAAAGCCCAATCACACAACATTGCTTAACACTTTGTCAAAACATAAACTCCATTGTTGATTCAGAAAAATATTCAATCGTCCAATCCCCATTTAACCAATTCACTGGGAATTGATCATCACAAATTTAGCAATACCAGTGTCATGGGTGTGCTAAGTCTTTCATATCAACTTCCACTGGTAAAGTTCCTCCTCTTCCATTTGCTGTAGTTTTTTTTTATTTGAGTATAAGTTATTTTTTTGAGAGGTATTGTAATTTATTTTATAGTTTTCCAAAGCTAGTTTTCTCATGACTTTCTCTTAGGCAGATACGGTTCACAGAGTGATTAAATAAATTTTGCTCCCAAGAACAAATTTATTTTTAAGTACCGAATAAAAATTACAACCAACCTCCCACAGGTGATTCCAGTTCCAGCACCAGTCGTAACTTGGTCATGCAGACTGTCAATGACTCACTGAGTCTCCCCTCACCTGTCCTGGTGAACATTGGGTGCTCTGCTTCAAACAACACAAACAGTCAGATCACTAATGTGAAGAATGTGAGTCACATGGATGTTTATGTGATGGAACCAACATGGTAATCATTGCATTTATACACTTGTTTTGATAAGTAGAAAAATTTTCTGATTGGAAATTGCAATGTTAAATTGAATAACAAAATAATTCTATTCCTAAAAGTATAAAATAAAAATTAAAATATAATAACATAAATGTTATGTAGTAAGAACAAAAATAGGTGGATTACAGAACTCCAGTAAGAGATTGGGAAATAAAATTTTACACTGAACAATTGTAAGAACAAGAAATACAAGAAAAGACATTTCAAGACAAGAACGCTTTAACACACCGACAAAAGTTGGCACCAGACCAACCGAACTATATTGAGTAAGTGTGAGCTTAGCCTCAGACGGAGGATGTTATAATCGTTGCCAGCCTGAAGCTTAGAATGCGAGCTTTATTTTGGTGTAGGTTGGTACAAAAATTTCCCGTAAAGTCCTGTCTGACAATGCTTTTGTCCCAGTTTTGGGAAATTCTCTATTCGACCCACATTACAAAGACACTGGCTATGGATCCGACAGTGCTGCTACCTTTGGGTGTTTCAGTGAACTACATCCACCCTCGGGGTAACGCAGCACAATCATCACTGCTCTTTTGTGATTTGTCAGCCTAAAATATATGAATGCCAATTGTGTTCGCTGATTCGCTGGCGCACGGGGGCTTTGGCCGCCACTGGAGAGTGCCTGTACATTGTTTTAGCAGTCAACGTTTTAAGCACAAACTGGAATAGGTGAGATCAGAAGATAATAAATCACAAGATAAGAATATCATTTTTTTCTAAATAAGGCAATTACAACACATTCTCTACAGACCTAGTAAAAATACCAATCCCTACCAGTGTGCTGTGGGAAAACTTGAGGCAATATTTTCTTGGGCGACCACAAGTCCTCAAACTCGCTGGCCATGTGACAAATGTTGGTCAGAGGGTCAGGCTCTTCAGTCTGCAGATGCAGGTTGATTTCTTCCACAATCTGATGAGCAAAACCATTCATCATACATTATGTGTTTACAAACGTGGTTTTTTTAGACCCCTTAGATTAACAAGACTCTACCACAAACACCCAGAAAAAAATTAAGACTTCGAGCAGTAATATTTTCAGTGTATGATCACTAACACAAAATGAAAATAATGAAATTTTAAAGACTTGATGTAAATCACTTACGTCTAAGAGTGTGTGAACTATGCTTGCTGACAATCTTATGTCAATGGTACTCATGCTGACTAGGACCTTGAGACCTTCCTCACTCTTGAAAGTTTGGGAGAACTCGAGATCACATGGGTGTAAGACCTGTTAACAGGAAAACCTTTGCATAAACATCATAATAATAATAATAATAATTCTTTTATTGCAGTCGACAAAGTACATTGCATTACAAACGTCAATAAATAAGGTTTGTGAAAAAGTCATGTTAAATCTTACTTTTTGTCACAATCATCTGCAGACCTCATTGCAACACAACCTTCAATGGAATCTCTCTTATAGGTAAATAAATATACGTCAAGTCATAGGCTCAAGAAGAACAAAGAATATAGGGGTAAGCAAGCTCACTTTTTTCTCCCTTTCGTAGATAGTTGTCTCAGGATGTTCCTGAGGCAATCCAAAAAGGATAGAGTAATGGTAAGGGTAATTTGAAGAAGGAAGCACCATCGTCTGTTCAGGATCTATGATGGGGATAAAGCATTTAGGAAGTGTGAACAGTGATGAGACCTACTTAGAGCTGTGGTAAGGGAAAGCACTCATGGAATCATGGTGAGCATCTGCCTCAGGCAGAATGCATCAGTTTATTAAGTTCATAATGCCCTCGGACACAGTTTGTCCCTGCTCAACCAATCATCATGGTAGATCATTATAGTACAAAGAGGATTTTGAAGTTTGAAACTATTAGCAGATCATAAAACAATTATTGGACCAGTAAATGTTAGTCTTATAAGTTTAAATACATTTTAAAATACTGAGACCCCAGGATCCACAAACCACTGGGCCCCGATGGTTTAACCCATAGTTGGTTTGCAACTCTGCTCGACACACCAATAGTTAAAAATTGGAATACACACAGAATTGTCTTGTAAAACGAGTGTTTTCGCCCACACTATAGATAGGTACTCACAAGATGAGGTCTCTTCTTATTGCTGGACACTATATGAAGTCCGGAGAGGGAGCAGACAAGGTTGCTATGTCCCGGATGACGACTGTAGTCCAACAGGAACTCTGTCCGGAGCAGTAGTGCCTGGCCCCCGCCATCCTCCCCCACTGAAGCTGACCCCCCACCTGCAAACAGCATCACCTCCGGCCTGCGCAACTGCAGCGATATTGACAATCCTGCCATAACATATGATATTTTTGATAAGTTTTGTTTATTTAAATACAATTTTAAATAAAGAACAGGAGGCGTGCAGCATGAACGATTGTAATAATGAAAACTTGAGTTCAAACTTCAAACTTCAAACAGGATCTTTTTAATTTTTTGGTAGGTCTACAGTTTTACACTAAGTGCCATTCTTACTAGGTAGTGGTACAGGTCTTACTGGAGATAGGTCATGTTTATTGTCATACAGGTTGCAATTATTCTCACACTCAAGACACTCATGATGGATTTTTTTACTTATTTTTGTAACTGGTTGTTTTTTTATGAGTTGGTATTTTGCTTACCGTAGTGATTTGGATTTTGATTTTGGTTTAGTCAAAATGAGTATAGTAGAAAATCTATGAACAAACTATGAGGCTAGTCTGCATGTCAAAAAATTGTTTGAAAACCAAACAAGGTATTAAACAACGTTTCAGTTTACTTGTTTTACTTAAACAACCTTAAATCATAGTCTTCATTAGAGGTAAATAATTAGCTTGACATATTTTTATTTGATCTTAGCTATACAAACCTGCTTGATCATCTACACAAGACGCCCCTGAGGAGAAGTAGCCACTGGTGCTGTCATTGGAACTGGGAGGCCTCGGGTGTTCCATGGGGGCTTTACCCTGTACCACAAAAACATAAATAACTCTACATTAAAGTAGTATACAGTATAAACCTGCTAATCCAGCATCCAATGGTCTGGTACTTTTAATGATTCAGTATTAATACAAATGTATAACATAAATATTGAATCTGTTTTAAGCCAAATTAAAGCGTTTGGTAGGATCGGGAGGGATCGGCTAGCATCAGGAGCAATTGGCAGAGTCAGTAATAATCGGCAGACAATGTAAAATTAACGGTATGATTGCTAGTCTCAAAATAACATATTTTTAAAATGACGATCAGTTATCTAGCATTATCTAGTCCCGAAATACTGGATTAGCAAGCATGTACTGTATAAACCTTAACCTTCCAACACTTCTACAAGAACCTATAACTGATCTGTTCTACAAAAGTTGAATGAAACCTGCCTGCTAAATTTACATTTGTTATTTAAAGTTAAATCATACTAATATTATAAATGTGAAAGTTTGTGTGTTTGTTTGTTTATTTGTTTGTTTGTTTGTTTGAAGTTCAATCACGCATTAACTACTGGTCGGATTGTGTTGAAATTTGGTATGATGATAGCTCACATTCCCGATTAACATATAGACATATTCTTACCTCAAAAATCCTTTATGGTTTACCAACAGGGTGCAGCACCATTAGTTCTTTATACATTTATGACAACAGCTAATTTGAACTAAGCAGCAACGAAACCCTGAGTGTAAGAACTTTACTTCTTTCTATTGTTTAGGTGAAGTGGTAGAACATTATGGCTATGGTAAATATTCTATATACTATATTATACCGTAGATTATAGTAAACAAAATTTTCTCAAAACGTGTCCTCTCTCATTGCAAATCCAAAGCATGAGTAGGGCATATTTAACTACAATAAGCATTGTATACCAACCCCGAACGAAGGACGGGTAGGTACTCAGCTATTTAATTAATAAATCGGAGCATTGCCAAGTGATTGTCTTAACTATTGAATGTCATTCATCCAGCTGTAGTCATAGTTTTAAATTTGGAGCAAGAACTAGATTGTATCACGAATCCTAGAAAAGACTCGTTATGGATCATAAACATAAACAAATTAAGTTTTTAGCCCGAAAGTAAACAAAACCATATGTTGATTAATGCTTTTAGTATAGGGGTGTGTTTACTTTCAGGCCAAAAACGTCATTTGTTTAAGTTTATGATCCATACCGGTATTTTTCTAGTATTCGTGGATTGTATATGTGTAATTGATACACAAATATAACCATTATTACAAAAACTGTATTTTCCTCTAGGGCTATCAAAACAAAAAAGGAAATCGGTCCCAGATTTTACCCTGCCACTTACGGTAATAGCTTCTTCCCTATAGGAAAAATTTGCTTATAAATGCAACATCATTCTAAACGTTGAAAAACCAACAAACCATTCATGAAAAACCTTAATTAGGGGGGACACAAAAACAAACATAGCTTCTTTTCCTCACCTGCACACCTGTGTCACCAACATAGCCATGATTGATGACTCCGCCCTCGCAGGTCTTGTCCCCGGGTAGAGCGTCGAGCACAAAGCGGCCAAGCTCCAGTACGAACGGCACAGACAGGTTGAGTCTCGTCCGCTCCACCAGCACGTCCACGCAGCGATCGCCTGTGTGGGACTGGCGGAACGTGATGTCTACGATGGGTGGAGTGGAGACTGACACGTGGCTGTTGCTCTCTTGTTGGTCGCCACCGTGCGACTGGAAGATTCTGTATAATAAGTTTTACAATTTGTATGATTTTTTGAGTGTCTGCGCCAGTGATGTTTTGGTGTTTTGTAAGAAGGTATATTAACACCAACACTTTCAAGGGAGTGGTCCAAACAAACCAATTCCATTCCAAATTCATTAAATGTTTTGTGGTTATTCTGAGAACTGAATCTGTCCCTCTCGTACTATAGTCTGCTACCCTAACCAATTGTGTTCCATATAGGTTTTAAAATTTAAAACTTCTGACTAATTTTCTCACATAAGATTTTAAATAGCAATACATTATGACCTGAAAATGTCTATTTTTTGCAGCACGAAACAGCTGTAGTAGGCTGGTTGAATTACCCTAAGAATTGTTGTAACAATAACACGGACAACTAAAATCTTAATTTCTTAACTCTGATGAGTTAGAGGCATAGATAATTAAAATAGAAGAATCCAATTATATAAAAATAATTATTTCCCCACTTTTTATAGGACGCATTTCTTTGAATTGTAGCTTAAATATTAACAGCAATTAAATATCCAGCTAATCATAATGTAAACAAATATGTTCTTCATAAGGATAACATGGGAACTTTAAAAGCCACTGGGGCAGAGCCCAAGGGCCCTTTTCAAAAATGTAAAACCAGTTTGCATATCTACGCAACACGCTCTTTCCAATGAGACCGCAATGGATAAAATCGTTAAGAAATGGCGGAGGAGTTCAACTGACAAATTTCATGTTGGCGTATTAATTATATAGATAATTATTTCCCCACTAGGCCTTTGCGGATTGGATAAAATTTGTTCTCGGGCCGGATGTGGCCTGCGGCCTGTAGGTTGGAGACCCCTAGTGCTCTATAGACACTCAATAACGGCAAAGTAAAAAGTTATGTTTGTCTATATGTATGCACATTGAAAGACTAAATTCAGTATTTAGTGTTTAGAAAGTGCTGTGGTGGCCTGACTGATTAGACAATTAAAACAATGCTAGTTTTGTAACTGTCATTCTATTTACTTCCTTCTGAAGAAGCCTCAATATGTAAAATATCAAGCATAAAGTGTTGTAAAATTTTTTGGTGCCATCAAATGCCAGGATCTCTTTAAGTAAGCATTTTTTATGAATAATGCATGTTTGCTAGTCTCGTCTAAAGGCTGTGTTTATCCTTACTTCCTGATGCAGTTGTTGTTGTCAGGCCGGATGTCGCGCAGGTGGCAAGACTGCAGAGACATCTTCAGCTCCATGCTGTGGTCCGTGTATGACTCTAGACTCAACATGGCCTCTCCTGTCACCAGCTTGCACAATCCGTGGTTCAAGTCTCTCACTGGCGAACTCAGCACCTGTGTGTTAAGTTTAGGTTTATATTTGGTGTTATAAATTACTTTTCAACTATTGGAAGGTATTTGTTGCTATAATTGTTGATTTCTCCATGCCAATAAATGAATAAATATTTAATAATCTGTGCTAAACTCTGTTGTTTACAAATAAAATAATTTAAGTGAAACTATCTGTCAAAAATAATTTCATAAAGTATCATACCTCCAAACCTATTATAATCCTATTAGAGATTCAGGATTACTAGAGAACAAAAATGCAAGACAGCCCTACGATAAAAAAGCATATTGAGAAATTACAAAACAATACCTCATCCATGTCACTGAACAGAAAGAGTTGCAATCCGTCAAACTGAAAACTGAGAGAAGCCTCTTTGCGGACTTGCTCACTGTGAGAGAAGAACGCAGCCAGTTTGCGGACGGCTGGGTCCTCAGAAACAGCTGATGGAGAGCCAGGGTCAACCAAGGACACAGAGTGCCAACTGCTGGTTATCTCACCTGAAATAAATCTTGTTGTAAATAAATTAGCAATTTATAAAACACTCCTTGATTTTGAAAGAATAAATCAACGTTCTTGAATTCCACCAGCAGTAATGCCTTTTAAACAGCGACTCACTTAAATTCACCATTTCAATGTCATTATGAAATTTATTCATTCTTCGACTCCTGATAGTTTCAGATTTTTTATCCTATCCTAAACAAAAGTGTGGTCCGAAGAAGTCCAAACCAGTAAATGCAATAACCACTAAAGGTGCTCATGTCACCATACATTGAAACGCTGAGAGATTTTGACACAACTCACCGATGAACCGGCCGTCGTTGAAGTTATCAGACCACACTGAGAGCAGAGTGGCAAGGTCTCGTTGGCCCAGGTTGATCCTGATGTTGTCTACGACACCCAGCACGTTGTACAACAACAGCTGGCTGCTGGATGGCACATACACGTGTGACTGTGCACACATTGCCGTGTGGTACGCCACTGTACGCTTCACATCCAGCCGCACACTTATCGGTTCAATGATCGGCTCCTACACAAAATATCTGTTAGTTTTAGAGTTAAAATTTCTTTCACTAAGTGTGTGTGGTAAAACAAACAAAAAAATTAGTAAATTTAGCGCAAATAATAAATATTATATGTGCTTGTATTGACAAACTATTTCAAAGAGTTATATTTTCCCGTTTAATGACTGTGTTATCAAAATGAAATCAAATCATTCTTTATTCATTATACACAAAGAACGTGTATTGAATAGAGTCAAATAACTAATAGGCTATAAATACATCTAGCCTATACAAAAATACAAATTTTGTTCCCAACATATACAGCAATTAAAAAACCTAAATTTTTCAACTGATACACAACCTTACTTCAAACCTTAAACTTTTTCAAAGTAACTTATATTGGAGATATTGGCAATTAATAATGAAATGCATAACTAAATTTAAATGTTCAACAAGGCCAATATATAATAGTTTGTTTTATTCACAAGCGCTTTTGGAAACTAGGCACAGTTTGAAAAAAATTGGTTCTTTAAATTTACGGTAAGCTATAGTATAAAAAATGTAATAGCCATAATGTTCTACTACTGCACCTAAACAATAGAAAAAATTAAACATTCGCACAATGTCACAAATTATTCATCTATACTTATTTAAAACGCAAGCAGTTTTTTTGTGACAATTACTCCTCCGAAACTACTGAACCGATTGACATGTTTTTGGTGTCATTGGAAAGAGCGTAACGTGAAGTTGTGCAGGAAACTTTCTTTTTAGGGAAATAATTAGAGAGTGAGGCCCTGGAGCCCTTTCAAGTTTCGTATTTCTCCATAAGGATAACATAGGAGATAATTTTTATTTACAGAAACATATGATTGTTACTTGAACATAGTCAAAGTCTACTACATAATAATTGCTGTGTATTATGACTTTTAATGTATACTACATTTCAATCAAGGATTGTATACCTTAAAGTTAATAATAATGGATCTTACAACTTTATTATAATGCTGGGAATAGTAAAATTTAGTTGAGAATAAGTTACCATGATTTAGAAAACTTTACTATAATAATTTATGTATTTAAAATCACAAATCTTTGACATTCATTTGAAACAAAACAGCTGATCGACAAATCAAACAAATCATCTACTTCATGTGAATAATGTTGTTACACAAACATAAGTTTTTTTAACCAATAACTTGATTCTGTTTTACTTGTGGGTGTATTTTGGGTTTGCAGTTATGAAAGCACCAAGCCAAGTAACTTAAGCACTTTAATTAAAGAGCAGAGCAGCACTATTCTTCACAGACCAATTTCAATCATGAGCAACTATATTATGATATGTTGTTTTAAGTAAGGCTACATCTTTTAATAGGTTACACATATTCATTACGGAAAACTTTGACAAGGGTAATCTTCCTGAAGACTGAAATCGTAGTGTTCATGGAAGTGCTTTTGTGGTTAAAATATTATATTTTTAGTGTTTATTTTTAAAAGGGTTTTCTTCAAGCAGCATTTTTATGACCCTCAAAATATGCTACATAGGAATATTGGTTTGATATGATAAAATGTTTTGTTAAATGCGTTTTTAAAAATCTTTAAAAAATAGCTACCCTATAACATACTTGAACTTGAACATTTATTAATTTACTAAATATAATACACATACAGCTAGAAAATTGCTGATCTACTTATCTTCTAAGGCTGTATTATTACTGCAATAAATATTTAATGTCGAGTCAATTTATAACACGATGAATTTTTTTTCTAAATTCATATGTTATTTTGCGGGGCATTGAGCCGCACAGGTTCACTAGTTAAATTAAAAACATAAACATAACTGTAAACCATCCTACTTTGACAGTTCTCATTTTGTATCACAGCTTTTTGTTTCTGCTTAGTTCAAATTAGCTGTTGTCATAAAATCAGAAAAATAATAGTGCTGCACCCTGTTGGTAAACCTTATAACTTTTTAATGATATTGCATATCATAGAACCAACTTGTTTAGTCGAAACAGCTAACTAAATTCTTTAATTCCTACTAAATATGAATACTCATAAGGTTAACATGGGGAACTACAGAGCCACTGGGGCGGAGCCCAAAAGGATTTTTGAGATGACAATTAGGCCTATATGTTAATAGGGAATGTGAGCTGCTATCATCATGTCCAATTTCAGCCCAATCCGTCTAGTACAGTCTAACCTTGATATAACGAACCTAGATTTAACGAATTCCTTGATATAACAAATTTTTTTTATCCCCTAGAACTCTCCATAAGACACAATGTATATTTTACCTCTACATAACGAACAAACCATAACAACGACCTTTATTTAACGATTTTTTTGTGATTTTGGCTAAAATAAGACACCTCAATATAACGAATTCGTTCACATTTATAATATTAGTAAAGTGATTAAAATATTAATGTCAATGATTACAGGCTTACCATAGCAAATTATTACGTTATAGTCTACCACCGTTAATGTAAATGAATGTCAGTAAACCAAAAACATAGAGATATCATATGACAATACTCGTCATTCACTTCTTTAATAATAGTTTATTTTATAAAAACTAAAAACAATTGATATTTGGGCTATAGTCTGATAAAACTGAGACATTGAAGCAAATATAGTATATTGACAGTACTTTTTTGGCTTTTCATTGGAATGCAAACAGTGGGTTAATTTATTCAATGTATGTATCTTGAGGTAAAGAAAATTAAAAATATATACCATTTGTGTCAAATATGCATTTTGGATTTTAAAATTTAGGAACAAAGTAAATTAAATAATTTACTATCAATTAATACCATGAAGGTCTAGTTGTGTTCTGTTCTTTAGCCATAGGTAGGCCTTATTACAACATTAAGGCCCGATTTCACCAAACTTTTAAACCGCCGTTAAGCCTTGCTCTAACTGCAGTTAGCTCTTAACTGACGAAATCGGATTTCACCACTCGCCGTTAGCGCTAGTTTAGACTAAACCGTCGTTAGATAATTAACTGCCCAATTTTGACCGGTTAACTTCTTTAATCTTTCGTTAAGTGAATATCAGCTGGCTTTAAGTTTAAAGTTTATATGGAAAGGCGAAATGGTAGAAGAGAATACGATACGAATTAGCTTTTGAAAGTAAGTGATGGCAATGAAGTGGCCTATGTTGTTCGCCTAGGTGGATAAGAGAAAGGGTTAATGATTTTAATAACAAAGATGAAATTGATTTTATTATTAGATATGAACTATCAAAACGTTTAGCATTTTTCTTTAGGAAATGAATACAAACCACTGTAGTGGTTTGTGTTTAGGCTATCCCACATAGTGCATTGCTTTAGGTTATCCCACAAGGCTTTTAGTTAAGGCGTATATCTGTGATCAGCGACCGCATTGAACTGATTGGCGATGAAGAGCCGTACTCTGTACTCTTTTATCTCGGCTAAAAAGAGTGTCCCGGCTCTTCTACCAACATTATCAAATTTATTATTTCATTGTTCGAAAAAATAGGCTCCCTTTCCTTCTCCCGGCTTTGGGTAACCCTAACCCAACGTTCAAACAATTGTTTTGCGTTCGGTCAGACGTAAGTAAACCAAAACCTAAACCTAAATTGTCATTATTCTGCTAGTATTTTATAGAAAATAATTATTTCGGTGTTATCTACATTGTGTCTCGTTCTTGTAATTCTTTTGACTCCAGTTTTTTCACTACTTCAAATGTACCAAACTGGTTAGTGAACAAACAGAATATTGAACATCCTTGTAAAAAGTTGGATTGATGAGTCTTGACTCGACCACAAAACTCAACCAATTTGTTCCTCGAATATGTTTATTGCTTTGCCTCTATTTGCTTATGTTAATTGTTTTGGTATTTATTCTTGCTTTCTGTTATTTTGCTCAGAATCTGTTGTATTTCTGTAAGCTTTCTGTCTCCAGTTTTGTTTTCACTACCTCATAAACACTGATTTATTTTCTAGGTTATGTTTACTTGCTCCCGTAACAGCCCGGTATTATGACAGTTCACTGCCACCGCCACCTAGATTTTACTCTAAACTCTCGTTTATAAAACCAGCGTTAGTTTTGACGTGTTTTCGTTGGTGAAACCAGATTTCCTTAACTGTGGTTTAAATCGTCGGTTAGTTTTAACCGAAGTTTAATTAAACCATCGTTAGAGAGAATTTGGGGAAATCGGGCCTAAGGTAGCTATGGAATAGGTATTAGGATAGTGATAGTACACAGTATACAGTATATTTAGATTTTTTAACTTTGACTCTTATAAGGATTTCCATAGCAACAAGGTAAATGTTCACTCTGAATTCGATTTGATTTTGATAAACAAGTCTAATTATGTCTTCTGTGTTTGACGTTGAATCTCTCGTGGAGAGGAAGCCCTCGAGGATGCGTGTCATCCTTCCTGACCTTGTCCGTGCTCTGCTCTACATAACAGGTATCATCTTGTGTATTTTCTTTCCTACAGTCCCGTTTGCCAAGTGGATCTCTGCCAAGTTGTGGGACCTTTTGAAGCAACTTGTGAGCAAATACTGCAACACTCCTGAGATGCCAGACGACAACTACCAGGCATGAGCCACAAGCTACGGACTACATTGACTGCTGATTACGGACTATTGACTACAGGATGCTGATTGCTGACTGCTGACTTCTGACTACTATCTAATGGCTACTGACTACTTGACCAGAAGGCGGGCTGATGACCCAGGATCCCCTCACACCATCGTAACATCTTATGGGAAGCCCGCCTACATCACATGACTCCGATCTACAATACTGACCATACTACTATCTACTACACACTAGAGATTGAGGAAGAATTGTACTACAAGCACAATGACTACACACTTTGAGGGGGTCCAAACCCTGGTCTTGTTACTATCTAATTATTTTCATTAATGTTAAATTGATGATTGAGGGCAAAAATGAATTCCAGAGTTTTTTTTGTAATAAAAAGTTTCTAATAATGAATATAAAGTTGTCTTTTTATGATATTTTCTCTTATGAGGTTTAGGCCATTAGATAAAAAACACATTTAATAATACTGTACAAATTTTAGTAGATGAAACAACAACAATTAAATAGGCTAATAACTTTTCAAACCAATATAAAATTCATAAAATAACCAGCCGTTTGTCTGCTATTTGCTTGTGAATGGTAAAATTACCAACAAAAAGACTATGAAGGGATACAGGCCGCTTATCAAGATGCTTAAGGTACTTTTCCGCTACTGCAACATAACAACTTTGCTTGCCCTTTCCATTGATCTCAATCATTGGGCATTTCATGGACACTTTAGACCGAAAGCCAAGCAAGTCAGACACTACAACCAGTTCACATGTTGAACAAGGGGGACCCCAGACCCCCCCCCCCCCCCACACAAGATGAAGGTCCACAGTGCTGATAATGGAATGTTCTCCCCCGAAACTCAGCCCTGGAACCGCCCCTGGCTAGCCTAGTTTATAGCATCTTTAACTTCAATGTGAGAAGGACGAGTCTCATCCCTAGCATATCTACTAATACTTTATAAGTTCGGTCCACTAACAAAAAAATCTAAACGGTGCACCAAGAGTAAAACTTTTTAAAAGGCTCAAACTGTATGAAACCATTGGCCATTCAGTTGTTCACAGGAATAATCTTGTTGAACAAAAACTCGTTTGGGCTGTAACTTTGAATATCAGATTTCTAGTTGACAGTCAGTATATACCTGCACATGTAGAGACCCAGCTAGAGTCATGACTGCTCTGCAAAGCTGCACTGCTTCTAATCTGATGAGGATGTTATCTTGCACAGGGCTCGACCCGTCATTACTGGACACCTCTTTGAAAAAGTTCTCCACGTTCAGATCACCTAAAATATTATTATTACCATTACCAAATCTTTGATTGTAACCCATACCCATATATTATTGTATCTTGATCCAATTTTCTCTTAATAACACATAATTTCCATTCTGTAAAATCCTTATCTTAAATAAAAGAATTGCTAGAGTGACTTGAACCAACTCAACTGAAAGAATGTCCACATGTGTATCACATGTGGTATAACTTGATTTACTGGCTTTATGGTAAATTAAATTTTGTTACAATTCTATTAAAATAGTACTTTAATACCATAAATATATTAATTTGTACGGATTGTAAAAGCGGTTGAGTGGCAGATTCAGTTTTGCCAATTGGAAACAATAATTTCTTCACAATATAGCCCCCCTCCCATACATTACAAAATGGTGTCACTTTGGTTGTCTGCTCTTATAATGTTACAGGTATTTAAACAAACGAGAGCACGCCCCGTGGTCGAAAAATCGACCAAAAGTATGTATTGTACAAACTTCTCTATTTTCATCCCACACTGTAAATAAAACATGTGATTGGAATGTCTTCCATTTGTTTTGATTTTCTGTTTATATTGTGTTTATATTGTGTTGTTATTTTGTCATCACCATAGCAACCCATAAGACCCATGTTAATTTTTAAAATTTCAAATTCATTTTTTGTGCTTATTTTTGAGCCTATTTTAATTTATAAAGGGATTCTGCACACCTACAGGAAAATAGCTTTCTAACGGTATGCGTAGATTTTCCCTACGATAGACACGAGCTGAGAAAAAAGGTTTTAAAGAAACATGCTTGCCTATTAATATATAGATAGATAGATAATGCTACTAACCCATGTTGAAGATGATGAGGTTAGGAGAAGCCAGTTTCTGAGGAAGCAACAGAGAAGGGCCTTGGATATCAAGTGAGAGATGGATTCTTGTGCTCCATCCACGTAGTGATGCCACCCACTCAGAGAAACATCGCTCAGCCCAGTGCAGCCAACCTACCACCAACCCTGGGCGGATGAACGGCTCCATGAAACGCTACAAACAAATATAGTATCCTTTGTAGTAATTTGTTGTGTAATCAGATCACATTTACACAATTAAAATCTTAATTGTTAAACATTACGACTTTTGTTACCACTATGTCGATTTGTTACCACTATAGTAGTGTTCAATATGGTGGAACCGCTAGTTACCAATGTTGAAACCAGTGTTGGACCGCAATCATAGAAAGCAAACAACACTTGGGCGGGATGGTAGATTTCTCCTCATTCTCCTCATATCGGTTCCTATGATGAAACTAATATCATTCACATACACCCTAGTGTTGGGGACTGTCTAAAATAGTAGTGGATGAAGTAAACTTCATATTTTGTTGTGGTGTTTCCGGACCAATTGATTGACAAATAAATAAAAGGTTAAAATACCTGCTTGTCGCCTTGTGGTCCAAGTATTGTCCTAGTGGATTATGTACATTTCGGCGCGAGCGCCGTCGTCGGATCCATATAAGAACTGTTTACACTAAACTTCCCTGAAGAGGTGCGTAAGATGTCCACAACACAAAACACATATAAAAACCGGTCGACCGTTATTTAACATTTTTTTTTTACTTTTGCTACGCGTGCACGGGCAGGATATGGAGGCGCGCCAGACGTGTGTCGAGACTCGACTGAAGACGGTAGTTGGTCGTGATCTGACCTTTGTCCTGGTGACGTAGCTAGTGCAGCATTGTTTCGGCTATTATTCATTTGTATTAAGGTTTCAAAAAGAATGTTGGATTGCAGGGTGTTTTTGTCGTTTAACAGGTTGTTTGTTTCAATTTTAGAGGCTCTGTAAATTTCGAACTGTTCCAATGCCGTCATTGTTCGGCCTTTTTGGCAAATATGTAAAGGCTGCAAATTTGTTGTTATATCAGTATAACTATGGTTACTGGCTACCAAATGGTCGGCAAAATTTGATTTTTGAACGATGGTTTTCTTGGGAAGATGTTCTTTAAACCTCTTTACAAAGGGCCTTCCAGTTTGGCCAATGTAAAACTTATCACAGTCATTACAGGTTATTTTATAAACTCCTGTTTTTTGACAAAAATCCTGTGGTGTATTTTTTACGGAAAGGAGATTTTGGAGTTTGTTCGATGTTTTGAAGGCTTGATTGATAGTTTAACCAATAAACAGATAATCAAGAAAAAAGCCATTACTAGCACTGATAACAATAAAGAGCGAATGGATTATGTATCAGTCGAATTTGGAACCAACCTCTCCCATACACTGAAAAACCAGATGAAAAAGCATGGCAAAATTGTAGCCTTCAAAACATCGAACAAACTCCAAAATCTCCTTTCCGTAAAAAATACACCACAGGATTTTTGTCAAAAAACAGGAGTTTATAAAATAACCTGTAATGACTGTGATAAGTTTTACATTGGCCAAACTGGAAGGCCCTTTGTAAAGAGGTTTAAAGAACATCTTCCCAAGAAAACCATCGTTCAAAAATCAAATTTTGCCGACCATTTGGTAGCCAGTAACCATAGTTATACTGATATAACAACAAATTTGCAGCCTTTACATATTTGCCAAAAAGGCCGAACAATGACGGCATTGGAACAGTTCGAAATTTACAGAGCCTCTAAAATTGAAACAAACAACCTGTTAAACGACAAAAACACCCTGCAGTCCAACATTCTTTTTGAAACCTTAATACAAATGAATAATAGCCGAAACAATGCTGCACTAGCTACGTCACCAGGACAAAGGTCAGATCACGACCAACTACCGTCTTCAGTCGAGTCTCGACACACGTCTGGCGCGCCTCCATATCCTGCCCGTGCACGCGTAGCAAAAGTAAAAAAAAAATGTTAAATAACGGTCGACCGGTTTTTATATGTGTTTTGTGTTGTGGACATCTTACGCACCTCTTCAGGGAAGTTTAGTGTAAACAGTTCTTATATGGATCCGACGATGGTGCTCGCGCCGAAATGTACATAATCCACTAGGACAATACTTGGACCACAAGGCGACAAGCAGGTATTTTAACCTTTTATTTATTTGGATGAAGTAAAGATTTGACTCTGACTTTACTCTATTTGCTGGAGTTTTGAACTAACTCACTCACTTGGCGTTGACTAGAGCTTGTTGGAGATCTTAATTTACGGCCAACCCTTATACATTTTCGGAATAAAGGTTGAAGAAAATATACAACTCACATGAATGTCAATGAACATTTTGTAGAAGAGCACGAGATGAATGCGGCCGACGTGCAGTTTAACACTGCCGTCAGACTTGACGTCGTCTCTCTTGGTGTCGACGTCTGTGTGTTTGTACAACTTGGGGCTGTGTCTCACATACTTCAACTCTACCACTCGCTCATCGTCCACAGCCAACACCTGGAAAACATCAGTCAACTACAGTCTACAGTCTTTTCAACCAAATACAATGATATAACATTCATCTAATCATATCTATTCTAATCAAATCATCATATCTAACCATCACCTGATAAAATTATATACAACTGTATGCATATATTTTTATCAAGGCTGGGTCCAACTTCTAAAGTTGAGACAATTGGTTTGAAAACAGGGGTGCCCACAAGGGGGGGCCGTGACGCAGACTGCGTCATTGAAATTCTTGGGGGGGGGGCTCAAAAATTCAAATGGGGGGGGGGGCTTAAGTTAATTGCAACAGTGTTCAACGTGACGACAATCCAAAATACATTACGAAATTGCCAGATAGAAAGTGGATAATTAATGACAATAGTTATATTATTGAATTAAATTAGTTAAAATAGGATTTTAGGATTGTTTAGGATTCGTGTAGAAAGTTATTATTTAAGATTAGCAAGACGTGAGATCTAAGAGAGGGAGCGCACGGGATGGCTCAATTGCTGTGATAGATAAAAGATAACGCGTGGTACAGACACGTCCAGCTACAAGACCGCGACTTAAGCACAGCAAAACGCTTTGTTGACATAAAGCTCGTTAAAATACAATCAAGTAGCAAGTAGCATAGGCTACAATACTTAACACTATTGTGTATACTCGATTACCTGAGTTAATATGGAGAGGGGGGGATACAAAATACGGTTAATCCAATATAGTATAAAAACAGATGAAAAACTCATTAAAACGCTGTAAACATCCATTAAGTCACGATTTACATTTTTATAAACGAAATTCAATATTGCACAATCATTATTATTGTAAATTTCAAATCATTTATCTTGGTTCATTTGTACAAACGGCAACGTTTAAAATTGTAGCTAACTCAAACTCAACTAATCACTAGCCATAAACATTACATTGCTATAAATAACGTAAATATTAAAGGAACCTTTAGAAAGTGTTATAAGGTACTGCTCATGATAGACAGATAGGCTACCGATAGGTGCTGTATCACAGCATAGGAATTTATAGATAAGTAATAAAAAAGTGTAAAATTATATTTAGAGATAGTTAAAACACTCTTAAAAAAAAATGTAACGAGAACAATCTTGTTATTCTATTTCTTTGTTCTTCTGTTCATTTAATAGGTTTCTCTTCAATTCATACACAAATTCAACAAGTCGCCATATTTAGGCCTACTCATTGGCCAATCACAGCCTTACTAAAGTTACCATGGTTATCACTCAATCACAGTGTACTAAGCATTATATCGTCATCATTCCCCAGCTGTTGTATCTGAAATCTGTTGTAACATAGCGCACAGCAGACAGAAGTGTATAACGGAGCAGACGATTGTTGGCGCAAGCGTTGTTTCCATTTCATTTTCATCAAAGGAGCTGTGATGTTTCTAAAGGGAGGGAGAGGGGATCGTTATATCGAGAAAGACGCTGACAGTTCGTTATGGATATTCTGGCAATAAAAAATTCCTTAAATTGAGGTGACTTATAAAACTCTAATTTTATTTATATAGAAAGATAATTTTTCCAGTCCTGTACAACACTGATTCACGTTCTTTTCCCTATAATCAAAATTCAAGTACAACTTGATACACACAGAATCTCCGGTTCCCGACCTGGATGATGGCTAGTTATTTAATTTAATTTACAGTTACATATTAGTACTCGTGATAAATCAAACCCGTTATGTAACCCAAAGCCACACGGTTATTAATCTCACTTGGTTTTGGATTTGCTTACAAACGTGATCGGAAATGGTTATAGGGCCTACACAGTATTATTAAAGAACATTTATGTAAACATATCAGTGACAGCTAGGAAAAGGAATCTTTATCAAAACAGCTGTTCGTAATTTCATATATGCCGTGTTCTCTTAACAGATTATTAGTATTTCATAAAAAATGACGTATGTAGTAAACATGGAGAAAATAAACTATAAAAATCACACAAAATTGTATTTTTGATCGTCCGTTATTTTATTTCCAAAATAGTGAGGCCATATTTTAATGGCTCTAAGGACTCTCTCGCCAATCCTGTGGATACAATTAAACCATTAGAATCATAATCGGTACTCTAGTTTTCTTCAGAGTAGGCCATGAGTAGGCTGCATAAAACCTTCTGGGCCGTGACAGACGGACATAAATGGATATAAGACATGTCCCTAGTGGAAGAGATCAATATATATCAATACAAAAATTGTATATTGATACGTATTGATACGTATGTGTATTTGGGCCAATACACATCAATACATATCAATACAAGTAAATAGGATCCGAGTCATTAGCTTATTTGAAAATAATTTGTAGCTTGTTAAAAAACCATTTTTAATTTGTTTCAAAACATTAAATAATATCAACTATGCACTAAAAATAAAATAAAAATTAAAAAGTAAAAAAATTCTTGGCAAAAAGTTCAGTGAGTTCCTGAGATTTGAACTGGGGACTCCAACATGGCAGCCGGTTGTCTTAGCCATTACACCATGGACGCTTCATGTTGGACTGAGTAATGATAGCCATTTTGAATGCGAGAAGCTGTGTTAGGCCTCGTAATTTAACTTGAAAAAGGTTTTCAATGGCATTTGTGTCATTTCAAGCATGTACCTATATGCTTTAACTTGTTTCAAAACTGTTTTATTACCAGTTCAAACTGTTTTCTTGCTACTTGGGTGATATGAATAGTGTCAATACAATTTATTTTTATTGATTTCTAGAAATAAGGAATTCAATAATAAATTTGTGAGGCATTTTTATCCCTAACGATAACCCAATAAGCAAAAAAATTGTTTAACGTTGTCGAAAGCTGTATTACAATTATTGTTGTATAACAATTTTAAAACATTTTGATTTAAACTCCATATTACAACAATTTTGATATAAGATTGAAACAATTTTAAAATTGTTTAACAATAAGTTTTTTGGAGTTGAAAAAAATAAGTTTCAATACGAGCTGTAACTGTTTTACAACAATTTTAAAATTGTTTTACAACCACTTTTTTGAAGTTTAAGAAAATCAGTTTTAATACAAGTTGTAAACTGTTTTACAACAATTTTAATGTTTAGCAATCAGTTTTTGGCAGTTTAAAAAATAATTTTTAATACAAGTTGTAACTGTTTTACAACAATTTTAATGTTTAGCAATCAGTTTTTGGCAGTTTAAAAAATAAGTTTTAATACAAGTTGTAACTGTTTTACAACAATTTTAAAATTATATATTTTTAAATTACCTATATTGAGTTTTAGGTACCTCAGCTAACGCCTATGACCTAGAACTAGAGTTTTTCCTTTTTTCAAAAAATAACATTTTTATTACTGTTTTTTTCACAAAGTTTACATTGGTATTTTGTATAATCCATAATGTTCATATGTGATACATTTTAGAGATATTTTGCATTTTATTTATCCGTATTGATGTCTATTGATTTATATTTACATCTAAAATATTTAAAAAATATTCTCTATTGATATCAATGAACGATTTGTTTGCTCAAATGATCTATATTGATATATCTTATGTTTATAGATGTCTTGTGATATGTATTGACTAAGTTTTCAATGATGTCTATTTGTTTGTATTTACTTGTAATGATATCCATGAACATCTATTGATATCACTAAGCATCTAGTGATATCAATAGATCTTTTCTATTGATTTCTATTGATGTATTCCACTAGGGGTTTCAGCTTCTTCAATGTATAAAACATAAATAACCCAAAATATGTATAATTCTGAACAATGTACAGACAAAACTATAACTTTATTGACATATATTAACTGGGTTTGAATTTTAAATATCTAAAAAAAATTATAAAACTTCTTTTATAGTTTTACAAATAGTGCTGGGCGGGGGAATAATGTTTCTCATTGGTTGTGTACATCATTTAAGGGGGGGGGCTGTTGCTCAATTGGGGGGGGGGGTGCGTCATGAGTCTAGGGGGGGATGGGCACCCCTGTTTAAAAGCTATATAAATTTTTATACTATGTCATAACTGGTATAGTGGTGAGACCCTCAAAGGACTCTTCTATCCTGAGTGGTTTAGGTTGTAATCTCAATCTCGCCATCACCATTGGCAGCTTGCTACAAAGATTGATCATCAAATTCAAATTCACTCATATCTGACCAAACAATTGCTTGGACTATAAGTGGGTTTTAAATCTTCAGATTTACATTCAGCTCTTGCTGTTTATTATTCTTTCTTCTTAGGACTTCCTATTTAATGGAACACTTCTCCTTTGTCAAGAATATATTTATTTTGCAAAAAAATCCATAAGAATTTTATTTGATACTGAACCATATTCTCGATGCTTTTTATTCAGATGAAACATTTGACAGTTCATGCAGTTGAGCAGGTAAGAAATCTTCCTACATAGAAATCTTATATATACAATTTTGGTTTTTCTTTTCCAAATTCGTTTTGCTCTTCTACCCGGCCGATTTTCATGATTGAGGTCTCAAATTGAAGGTATGTACGCACAGATTTTACATCAAGCACCAGCATATATTTATGTACTGTATTACTCGACCAAAAACATAAATTTGATTTATTTTGAATTCTTAGTTCAATTCGAGATGTATTTCACTAGTTATAATTATACAGTATAATCCTATATATTTTGGTTGAAGAACTTTCAATGAAATACCGGCTTTCATTTAAGCTATTAGTTGTTCAAATCGGACGATTTTTAAACAAATGCAAGGTGAACAACATAAAATTTTTTTTTTAAGGTTTTTCTATGATTAAAAATCAATAGCTCCAATATTGTTTATGTTTTCTTTTATATGATTTAGACTCAAAGAAAATAATCAGTAAATGATAGGCTTTAATTTGAGCTACTAATCGTTTGAATCAGTTAAGTTCAAGAAACTGTATTACTCAATCAAAAATCATAAATTAGATTATTTCTTGGATATGATATTAAATGCAATGCTGCGGAGCAGCATCACTCTAGTAATTTAATTATAAAATATTATTAAATTATCAATGTGGCCACAAATTGAATTAAGGAGAGCAAATTATCTCTTTTGTGAAAAAATAAGTCCTATAATAAAAGTGTACAGTCAATCAGTTGAACATAGTGCTTAAAGTTTGCAGGTTTAGAACTACATCAACGATTCTACATGGCATGTTTATTGTACATACCACATACCATCAACAAATGAGACCGAAAAGAAGAAAAGTAGCATCAACTCAGTTTGTGCTACTTAAAAAAATCTAACTTATTAATTTTTTTTATCCCTACTGATAAAAAAAGCTTATTATTTAATAGGTGTTAGTACACTCCTAAATTAAATTTGAAGACCGCTTACCTTGGGGTACAGTGTCATATCCGAGAGGTCGTCAACAGTTATACTGCTCAAGTAGAACTTCAACACCATCCTCTCATTGGCCTTAAACATGCAGTCACTCTCCAGCCCTCCCACCTGATAGACATTCATACCACAATTGTTAGATAAGCTCTATATTTGCTACAGTTGAAAGAATCAATCAAGAATCAAGGATTTATTGCATCAAATTACAAAAAGACATTTAAGGCCTACATCAGTCAGAAACTAAAAACTAATATCAATGTCAGACATAAAAAAATCACTTACACTATAAAAAAAGAAGAAACTGCACAATAATACATCTCCTCACTGAAAAGTTATAACATTTTCCTGATTGACTAGGAAATTCGGTTTCACCTTTATATCCAAAAACTCAAGGTCAGTGTCGCACAGCCGCACCCGAAACTGTGACATCCGGGTGGAGTAGCTAAACTTGGTGGCTCCGGGTGGGATGGGTGGATCTACAGGAGTGTGCCACAGTTTGGACTGCAGAGGTGCGTAGAAGTGTTTGGCCCTGGACCACAGATCAATGTCCCTGCTCTGCACTCTGGGGAAACAGTTATATTTTAATAAACATTTTATTCTAGCTCCGGGTAAACAAACTCCTAGCAGTGGTACAAAGAAAAGCGTTATTATAAATCAGTAAGATCTGAATCCAGATCTAAAAACAAAAATTAAGGGTCAAGTGACACTTTATACTGGATTTTAGAATTTACAACTCTTGACCAGAGCGGAAGCTGTGTTCTAAATGTTAAAGAAATATATTCATTAGCATCTGGGAAAACACTTATTTTCTCACATTTAAATATAGCACCAATGATTGGACACTCTTTAAATCTACTATCCTCAACAAGTTGAATTTGACTATACCACTACTACTCAATGATGAATTAACATAACTCTTCTTACTTCTGCATGAGGTATTGCAGATATTTGTTGAGAGTCACGAAGGCTTCCCGATGAAGGATGACACTGATGGAAGAGAAGTCCAGGACCAGAGATTGCTCAACACTGTGAAAGTGGCTCTTGAAGTCTGGGCAGTTGGCTCTTACCTACGATAAAAATTGTTTATTTAGCTATGCAAAGGTTCAAATTAATAAGTTCAATGTCTCTAAACTTCTTTGCCAACATTTTTGGTTATCGTGATTTATGAGGTAAGGATACTACTAAAGCAAATTTTAATTTTTTACTCAAAAACAAACTAATGAAAGATCACTAAGATCAGTAACATGCCTTACTTATGTATGTTACTGACTGATATCAGATTTATTTATCCTAATCTATAACCATTCCGTGAAGGCCCAATGATCAAGGGAAAGCTGAATACAGTTTGTAAAATCTTGGTAAATCTCTGGAATTAGGCTAATTCTACAACTTTACAGCTTTTCCTTATACAGTAGTGTTAGTTTGCCTTGTATAATAAACATCAAACATACTTACTTACATATAAGATATCCATCATCATCGTTGAACATCATCATCACCCATCATTTTTATAGCCACAGCACACACTACTGCAAGCTCGTAATACTGACCTTCCTGTACAGCAGTGAGATGACATCCACTCCAGGTTCAGTAGCTATCAGCTCCAGATACTCCCCCGCCAGGCCCACATGTAGCTTGTCTACCAGCTGTACACTGCCTAGAGACGCCTGCACTGCGGGGCCATACTCCATCAAGGCCACATCACATACTGCCTTGCTCACCCGTAGCATCAAATATGGTTTGTCTATGCGGTTGCTTGAGCGGCATAGTTGAACTACAACCTGCAGCAAAAAGGTATAATAGTTATAAAGTGATTTCTCTGTATCTTATTAGACCCATGCTTGAGAACAACACTTGAAGATAGGTGTTTTCTATCGTAACAAAAATAATTAGATTGATTTTTTCAACCCAGACAACTCCTATTGACACTGACATAATGAAAATGTGAGAAGGCTGACTAGTAAGGGTTTGTGAGCTTCCGATATTTACTGTTAAGTTGGATCAACAGTTGGCTCAAGGAATAGTTTTGAGTTCGAAATGATTTTTGAGCCTTAGAGATGTACGAGCGGCTTGATTTTTGTGGTGAGCCCAGCAGAGCAGAGCTTGCATTCTTGTGATTGCAAAAAGTGTCTCCAAAGAGATGCGATCAAAAGTTGGCTTTCATTGTGGTTGCAGGTGATGTTGATGGTTTTGCTGTCATAGCAAAAGATGATGATTATGTCTCCGTGACTGTAGAAGATTTTGCTGTAACCTCCGAATACGTTCACAATTTTTGCAGTGATTGCAGAAGATTTTTCAACTTTGCCATGACCATTGTAGATTTCTCAAATTTGCCGTGACGACAGAAGAGGTTTTGATTTTGCCATGATGTAGAAAAGTGTTCACGTTTTTGCAATGAACGAAGATGAAGATATTAAGAATTTTGGGGTGACTACAGAAGATGTACATCGTTTCACCGCGATTGCGAGATATAATGTACAATTTTGCATAAACCAATTACTATTGTATGGTTTCGCCCTGATTGTGAGATATAATGTACAATTTTGCATAAACCAATTACTATTCTAGTTACACAACTAATATTTTTTTTTAATCAATACTTTTTAATGCATCCTGGTTTTACCCAGCCCGATTTTAGCCTGCCCGATATTGGTCTGAGACCCAAATGCCAAAACTGTTTACCCAACCTGGAGTAAAAAGGGCTGGCTCCTAAGTCCCTGTTGGTAAGTATGTAACCTTTATTGAATTATTGTTTGAGAAGTACAAAGGGTAGTTTCATTTTTTTTCAAAGACTTTTTTAACAAGTCAATTTCATAATGTGTTATGTTAATGTGTTTATTTCATATTTAGTTTATACTTAGAATTACAATTATGCAGCTTACAATCCTAGTCATTTCAACCATAAAAGTAGTTAATTAACATTATCTATCATATGCAATTTTGTAAAAACGTTTTTGTCATCTTTTTTAATAATAAGAAATCAAATCTTCTATCCCAAACTGTAAATAAATCTGTGAATCAAATAAATTATTTTACCAAAGACCGTATTTGAAACTAGCCTTTTCAGTTCAGTTCATAGAATTTAAAAGATTCACTTCACAGCATTGTTTACTTACTTTACAACACTAGTAACGGACCAATGAGGTTCAAGGATTGAGAGAAAAGCAGTAAAATTGTAATGCTTCAATCATTGACTTATCAGCTGTTAAGACCAATTAATTGTTTAGTGGTGCAATGAGTGATTGCATTACTATCAGTGGCAATGAGAGGTTATAAACGAAAAATAACCTCTCTTCGAAGTTATGAGTAGCGATTGTTAGTAATACAAAAATGGTCATAGGTAAAGTAGTGTACGCAACTCGCATAAATAGTCTTAACAACAGGAGTAGAAATTTAAGGCACGAGCATTCGTGATCGTTGCGTAAACTAAGGAAGTGTCAATATGACACTTAACATAACATCTGAAAAGTTAACGGTTCTAAATACCGTCAAATTAACAACAGAGTGTGATGGGTTCACAAGGGCATTAGCAACAACCGCTAGGAGATTCTGTACTAGGTCTCAAGCAAACTGGGAATACTATGAAGTAAGTTGAGTTAAATATGTTAAAACTACCTATTTATTTATAGACTGATAAAAGCACTTTATTTTCTTTTTTTCTATTGCAGCACAGAAAGTTTTACCAACCTCAAAGATCTAGACACCAAATAAATACTCTTCAACGCGGAAATAACCTTGAATATATTTGAAAATATTTGATACAAGAAAGGGAACAATGTCAAGTAGAATTATAGATAACACTTAAGTATTTTTGTTTAAGCTGCAAATATTTCTGGTTATGAGACTAAGGTGAAATTGTAATACTTGTTTGCTTAATTTAGAGAAAAACATATAAACAAGATAAGCAAGGTAAAAGTAATGCATCTACCGCAAACATCTAGTATCTTACTGGGAGCAGCAACTGACGAAGATGAAATACCTGATGATTTTGCTGTTCTTGATAGCAACAACAGTAAGTGACCTCTTAATTCTCAGGTTTTTAATAGTATAAAATGCAAACGAAAATAGTAATATTTTAGGACATAAAATTTCTTAATAATCATTCTTTTAAGATAAACTTTTCCTTAATTTATATTTTTCACTATTATATATATATTATATTATATAGTCAACACTTAACACCCTACTTTCTTACAAATATCTCTTTCCAATCTGTGTTTAATAATCATATTCTCAATGCTTGACATTATAATTAAAAGAAATCAGAGGTATGTTTTCATTGATAGACTGGGTGGGATGACACATAAAGCTAAATTCTATGAATTGTTTACCTTCGATTTTTTTCAATTTGTTTATGGGGTGGAAAATCCTGTCAAGAATATAAAAATATATGTAATTATTATTATTATTATTTCCCCTTGTGTGTAGGGGAAACTTATGTTGTTTTTGTACCAGGGTGCACTTTTTTCCATCCAGGTAAGAGTTCTTAACCTTAAAAGCTTGGTTCAGCGTGTTGTACAAAGGCTGCCCATAAATTAAGGTCTTCATTGAGCTCTAACTGTGGCCAAGTGAGCTAGTTCAAATCTGAGATCAACGTAAGCTCTTTACTTGTCCCACCCTTGTACAACGATTATTTATCTCGTCATAGTAGCCAAAAAAGATGTGAATAAAAACTGATGTTCCTACCAAGTATGAAATGTGTTCTGTTATTAAGTTTCTGTAGGAAGGGATTCATTTCCCTTTGCCATTTGCCAGATGGGAAACTTTTGGACAACACTTGAAACATTTTAAAACAAAATCTCCCGTTATAAATAGTTTAAATATGAGTTGATGATGAGTGTGTAGAAAGAAGCGAGATGCTTTGTATCAGCCGTTTCTATCTCAAGGATCATTTATTAAAATCCCAATCATCAAAGACAGCTGGGTCCAGTTTTGTACCCTCAGACTCTTGTGTTCTGATCAAACAGGCAATATTTTCATTGTTATGCAAGCACTGTACTCACTTGGCTATCCAGCTAATACGTGATATCACTAACTATGCATTGCTCAAATGTGTAAGGTAAAGAACCTTTTTCTTCTTTCTTCTTTTGTCTCTACATTTGTCATGTGTGCTCCTCAGGCACTGTTGACGTTTGCTCAGCTAGAGGCCAGCATCTCCTGTGTCACTTGCACTTCCTACACTCTGACCATCAACAACTCCTCCACCAGCACACTACTGTCCTGTCCTGTAGGCACTGTGTGTGGAGACTCAGACAACGCCACTTTAGTCTGCTCGGCCACCAACGAGTGTGACCGCGTCGTCTGCGACCACTACGCCGTGTTTCCCTCCTCCTCCAGTTGTCAGCAGTACCATGTCTGCCGATACATCAGAGGTTACGGCACATTCGCCCTCTCTACCTACACGTGTCCTGGAAATTCCAGGTTTGACTCCGTAATCAACAAGTGCACACTGAATACTGCTCGCTGTTACAATGCTACTGCCTCAAATGGTTAACAAATCAGTGGAATATACAAAAACTTTGATTTGTAAAATATGGTTATTTTTATGTGATAAGTCTCACTATTCTGGTGCATTTGTATATTGACTTAAAGAAAATGTCTTTTTTTAAGTAAACTTTTTATTCAAACGTTTTTATCATTGCAATTCTTGTTCTCCCCTGTGACTTTAGGTTAATTTCAAGTAATTGTGCTATATTAAAAATCATTTTTTTTTCTATTATACAGATATAAAAATTTCAAACCTTAAATCACACCAGTAACTACTAATCCAAGACTGGTGTCAGTTGTTAAGATCGCGCCACTCATCCTACATTCATCTCATTACATACTTGGCTTAAAATACCTACATTAGTATGATCACCATTTCATAAGAAAGTATTCAAATGTATTAAATTATTAAGTAAGTTTTTCATTCTTTAAAGATGACATTTCTTATTTATTTACACCGCTATGTCCAAAATACAAACTAACAAAGTTCTGCAAAAAAACACGAAACTTGATGGAGAAAATTGCAAGTCACAAAATAGTTTCAGCAAACATTTAAACGGGGCCTGTGTATATATAACCTGAAGAGTAACCTAGGCCTAAAGTTTGATTTTCCTTCGTTTTAGTTGAAACAACTCCACAATTTACAACAACAAAAATGCTCATCACATCAGATAACCCACACAAGTTTTAGAATCGTAGGCTACTCAAACATCAAGTCAAGATATTTCTAGACAACTATACAACCTCTCCGATGACGAATCTGAGCAGCATCGTGATGGCATTGTTTGGAGATACATTGTCGTCGAAGCCAGGAAGATCAACAGTTCTCGCCCACAACTCCATCTCCTCATCACTGTGCTCTGATGATATAAAGCTCCTGCAATAGTGGTAGATAGGATAAAAAGGTAGTCCTATTTTAATTTTAAACTATGCTTACAATGAATTTGTGCGGTAATAATATATTTTTCTAATTAATTTAATACTTAGTACCTAAATTATTACTTAAAAATTGATAATGTTTTTCTCAGATCTTTCAAACTAAAATAATATAAGTTTAATTTTAACTTGAGAGCAATATAATAACAATAGATAATCTGCCAAGTATAGCAGTGCTAGTGCTAACTGTATTCATATAGACATCTATTTTGTACCAGTGGACCCACACAGAGACACCTCAGGACCAGAATTTTGCTTTCAATAAAAAGACAACTCTAAGAATTAAACACAAAAACAAAAGCAAAAAGCATGCCTCATAACAACACATTGTGTATGCAGTTTTTTTTGTTTTTTTCCTAGGACGCTAGGCATGAGCCCGGAATTGTTTTTCACATTACTTCAGGCCAGACCTAGGGGTTACGGCATTACCACTTAGATAAAATCCATTGGTGATTTGGCAGGATTTGAACCCGGGACCCCAGGAACCGGAGTCCCGCGCTCTAACCACTAGACCAGCTCACTCCCCCATTGTATATGCAGTGGTACAGAACTAAGTAAAATAGTAACGGAAAACAGCAATAAAACATGTATATCATACTAAACATCACTAAACTTTGGGTGCGGCTTGTTTGTTAACATAGGGAGGCCTATGGATAGAGTGTTGCCTGTATTTGGAAAATGAGGCATACTCAAATCAAATTATCTATTCTCAAAATGAGGGGGAGTCCCTTGTTCTGTAATCTGGGATATTCTGGGATAGTTACAGCATAAAAATTTGATGTTAACTTGATGTTTTATTTTAGCTCTGAATTGTAATACTCACTTATCTACCTCCAGCATGGCCATTTTAGCAGCAGCCTTGTCAGACGAAGGCAAAGGTTTGTTCTTGAGGGTCATCTCTGCAGCCACAAGAATGGCTTTGATCTCTGCGAGTCTCTGAGCAGAATACTGTACATCTCCTACAGACATAAGCATTTATTTTGTTAATGCTAAATTTAAGTGTAGGTTGCATTAAGAATTACTTAACGTCTCTTACTGAAAAATGATTGTGTCTATTTTGTGGTTGGGAGAAAATAATAGACAAAGCTAGTCTGCAGTGCTAGTGGTATTGTTACAAGTTTTCTGATCAAGTTTTGCTAAATAATTTTACCCTTTCAGTGCTATGTGGCGATTTATTGTTGTGCGTACTTTTCCTGTTAAGTGCTATGGAATGATATATTGTTGTGTTCGTTTCATCCGAAAAGTGCAAAGCGACGATATATTGTGCAGATCCGACTTTCAATCGTGTTACTCAGTTATTCTTTCTAAACAGCAAACATTCCTTTTGATTTCTCATATGATTGAGGACCAATAAATTGTTCCTTAGCTCTTATGAGATGAACAATTTTATTTATACAATTATTTTTTCTAGCACACTTGACTTTGCCCCCACAGCGAGTATAGCTTTTTTTCGGATGAAATGAGTAAATAACTCTGGCATTTTTCAGAAAATAACTGCAAAATCTTCTAGCACCAAAAGGGTTAATGCAAGCTGGAAATCCCTCTTAATGTTAGGTACTTTTACACAAATCTGTAGATACAAGGCCATGTGTAATCTTAAAATACAACAATTCCTTCAGTCAGAATTAATCAACTACAGTCTACTAAACCAAAATTAAACATTTAATAGCCAATTGTCACTACACGAGTTGAACAACTTCTACACAGCTCATGTTCCTTATTTAATGCTCATTATAGTTGTGCTAAATGTATGCACGCCACAACTAGAAAACTATAGGAGTGTTTCAAGCCTAAACTTTGGTGTCTTGGACTTCTTGAGGGACGGATTTGATCCCTAGCATATCCAAAAAAATTTAGGGATTTTAACTGCTTTCCTTTATAAGTGTTTGATTTACTTTAATTTAATAGTAAATATCACTAACAAAGACCCTAAGTATAAAACAGCTTATTCCCTATAGGGGAAATTCGCTAAAATTTCACAGTGTATCAATTACCTTGAGGAGTGTAGATTAAGGGCTGCAGGGAAGTGGAAGACACAGATACATGTACAGTGTTGGCAGAAGGGAGAGGCAGATTGTCAATAAAATCTAGAACACTTCCGATCTTGCGATCTGACAGGTTCAGCTTCAAACTAGTGAGGCTCACGTTCAGCTTGTGCCTGTGGGAAAAGCAGACAACCAGTAATCTGGTATCTAGGGTTATTTGTTTAAGGCTTAACTATGATAGCGCTAACTGGAAAAATTGAGGGAGGTATAATTAGTGGTAAACAACATAGCTAGTATCTAACCTGGGCAGCTGTCTGTACTCCGGCCTCACACTGTTAGAGAACACAACTTGACATTGGACCTTGGGCAGCAAGTGGTAGTCGGAGTCTAACTGCTTCTTGGCATCCCTCCACTCCTCACCTGTAGACAAGGCACCACACAGTGATTACTGATGAAGTAGTAGTCTTCTAATCAAAAACACTTTCTATCAAGCTACTTTGTAAGGATCAGTGTATGCAGAAAAAGCATGACAACACAGCAAAAGAGTTTTTTAAGGGATGAGTTTCCACATAGTCACTATCCCTAAAACTCTGTATAGTATTGTCTCGATCTTTCCCTCACTCACTTTGACACTAGTAGTTATATCGTGAGCAAAAGAATAAACTGTTTCAGCAATAAACAAATGTCAGACTGACCTGAGTCACAGAAAAGCACTTGCAGTTCGGAGAAGTCTATGTGGAAGCGATCGTACAGTCGTTCTTCCAACTCCATCTGTGTGGCGTCCTCCAAGTTGATGTTGCTCGGCTGCAACTCACTGGTCACTCTAATGTGGCCCAGGTCTACCACAGCCATGTTGCCACCCCTGCAAAACATCAGAGGAATTAAAAACTTACACTTTTTCAGTCATGATTCCAGATAAATTTTGTTGCCCCTACATTGTTGTGGAAAAGCCAAGGATTGAAGAAGTTATTCTCGCATCAAGATGACAAAGTTCAGATAAATAAACAAAATAGTTGCATTACAAATCTACACAGCTACATATAGGTTATGTTTTCCTTGTCAGCAGATTAACAGATAATGCACCAAATTTATTTTGATTTTTATCAATCCTAGTATAGACACAACCAACCAATATGTTAGAATGTTTAACAAATAAAACAAACTAAAACACATGTCATTTAATTTTTTACAACAAGCCTACATTATTATTCAACTAGCGGTCATACACGTGTTTCGCAACAGGAAGAGAACACTAAAGAGAATAATTATTATGTTCCGTAGAGACTGTATGTAGATAAACTTTTAGTAATCCACTAAAATTATTAACTGGCTACTCCGTTTACCAAACATTATTTTTGGGGAAATAAACCATACAAACACAATAGATTTTTATAAACAAATGGGAAAAAAGAAAGTCAATAAGTTAATGAATTGTGCACTTAAAAAATCAAACACTTTATTTGCACAGTATCAAAAATTATTTATTAAATAAAAAATAAAAAAACAAACATAACTGTAAAAAATCCTACTTTGACACGAGATAGGGCATATGGTTACAGGATATTTTTGGTTTGTTTTGACCTCAGTAACATGCCCACAGAGTTTCGGGAGAGAGTTTCGAAACACCCTTTAGATAGATAAACATACTGTAATCTGTTCATGGTTAACTGTTGTTTCTTCTTGTTGTTGGGTTTGGTAATGTTACTTGCCTTGGTTAGCGGTTCAGGCTTTGGTGTGAAGGAGACAGGTTCGATCATCCGCATACCCACAAAAATTTGAGGGGATTAGACAACTTTCCTGTGAAAACGTATTTGATTGCTTAGTTTAAAAGTGATCTCTTATTATGATTGTAACTCACTTCTGCATTGAGCCAAGTTCGGGAATGACCAAGTAGGGCAGTTTGAGGTCCAGGTTGAGTTGGACGGCCTTGTGTCGCGCGATGGCTCTCTGTGTAATGGAGCGCACGTTGTGGAACACACCAGAGGAGGTGGACTGTGCAACCGACATCAGCGACACTGTCGGGGCTTGAAGGAAACTCATCAGTTCGGATAACGCGTGCTACAACATCATAAAATACCACTTTAAATGGTTTAAACTCGTTTTATAATAATCATTGGAAATCATCAGTTCAGCAACTCCAGAGAGTACTGATAAATCACTTTCATCTTATAAAAAATAAATGGCCCCTCTAAACGAAACTCTTTTCTTACACTTACATGTTTTTTTCTTTCAGAAATAATCTCTCTTTTATGACGTCTTGTCAAACTTGTTTTCATTGTCTTGCACTTCTGATTTTTTTCTAGTGGTGTTTTGTAATGTCAAAACTTTAGTTTGATGTCTTAGTTTCTGGTCCTGTGTCATCTTGTTTTTGTACTGAGATTTTATTTGTGAATTTTGCATTTTATATTTTAGTATTTTACCATCCCATAAAATACTTTTTGTACAATGAAATTGTTGGACTTACACTTATTGTATTACTTTATTTATTCTTTTTGTGACTTATAGCGAACCTGTGACTTTTTTTGTGATTATACTATCAGTTGATTAAAAAAAATATTGTACATTTTGGAGGGTAAGGTTTCCTATTCTGAAGGTTACTGGTTGCGCACATATTATTCCCAACTGTCTTGAATGCTATTTTCTCAATGCCAAGTTAAAGTTCAAAGCATTGAACTTAGTGATTTGACTTAGTACAAGGTTTTAGGTTCCAAGAATTTGTAGATCCTAAATGGGAAGGAGCCCATCCATGCATACAAAAATTTACACAATTTTCTAATTTATTCATAAATTTTTGTTTCATTTTCCAAGATGGACTTTCAGATAACCCTGCTATTCCAGAATAAATCCTCATAGCTATTTTTGAATTTGTTACACTACTTTATAATGTTCAATGGAATAGTGAAATAAATAACTTACCTCATGATATACTGCCTCCACTGACTCAAGTGAAATGGAAAGACCATAATCAGCTTCTGAAGCGAGCGGATTCTTTTCAAAATCAATCGCAAGGAAGTTGCAAGCATTGTTACCTGAAAATGTTATACTCTTTTTAAACTGTAGGCTATATCATTGTAAAACTAGTTAAACTAACAATGAAACATATACACAACTTGTACATGTCTCTGGATTTTAATAATCACAATTAGTTTACTGGCATAACTGTAGATACACAGCTAAAATGAACATATGATATTGGTAATCTTTAATTGTATTATTCAATTTTACCACTAGAAAGCTCTCCTGACAATCAGTTAATCAGGCTACTTTTTGAATTACATCTTCAACACAGAACCTTAGATTAAGGAAACAAAAGAAATCCTGGAGAAAAAAGTTTCAATATCTTCACAGTTACTGGTCTTTACATACTTGAGAGTGGTGGTGTTTGGATACAAAAAGATTAAATCATCTGAGATAGGATTGTTATAATTTGGCAACATTAAATTAAGCACGGGTCACACTAGGCTGGCATCAGCGGCGAATTGAAAGAAGCCGCGACTGTCAGCTTAATGTGACCACAAAATTCGCAGCTGACACTGAGCTGACTCAGCCTGGATTGGTAGGCCGGTGATGCTGGTGCCAGCTGCTGATCACCAGCGGCTGGCGAACAGCCTAGTGTGACCTGTGCTTTAGTGGTAACAACTCCAGGATTTGCAGTTTTTCCCTATGAAAAACATAAAATTCCAAAGGCGTAAAAACACAAAATTTACATTAGACATTATTAGTATTTAATCCACCTTGAAAAAATGTATAGTCTTTGTGTAATATAATTTTAAAAACAAGAGAAACTCATACTGTGCTTCTTAAAGTGTACTTCCCATCACACTATGCTGTTCATTGACATTTTACCAGTATATGATTTAATAATCAAATTTAAAAGTTTTAGTTTTAGTTAGTAGTAGCAAACATTTAAAAGT